AAGGAAGGAAGGAAGGAAGGAAGGAAGGAAGGAAGGAAGGAGGGGGAACAAGAGAGATAAGGCTTCTGTTTTGGGACCTGGTAACCTGGGCTTGTGCAACCTGTTGACGGCTTTGTTGTTGCCTTGGCTTTCAAAGGATGGCCGGGCTGCGTCAATGCATTCCTGGCTCCTCACCTGCGCAGGGAAGAAGAGAGAGAGAGAGAGAGAGAAAGGGAAAGAGAAAGAGAGAGAGAGAGAGAGAGAGAAAGGGAAAGAGAAAGAGAAAGAGAGAGAGAGAGGCCCTGAGGCTGGCACCAAGTGTCTCCGGCCAGACAGAGCAAGCTTGGGCCCCTCTCCTCAGGAGGAAAACCCATGGAGTTGAATGGGACAAGGTGGGTAGAGCTGGCCCTCCATAGCCATATATATTCAGGATCCGTGGATTAAAAATAATAATAGTAATTATTATAATAATCCGTGGATATGGAGGGTCAACTTTATGGAGGGCATATAATTCTGTAGGCCTATATCTATCTAGATAAAGATACAGATATACAGAAATCTATATAGATCTATAATTTCCAAAGCAAACCTTGGTTTTTGCCATTTTTGTATTGTTCTTGTATGCCTTCCAAGTCATTTCCGACTGATGGTGACCCCCAGGCGACCCTGTCATCATGAGGTTTACGTGGCAAGTTTCTTCAGAAAGGGTTGGCCACGGCCTCCCCCTGAGGCTGAGAGCGTGTGACTTGCCCAAGGTCACCCAGTGGGTTTTTCCACGGCATCAAGGGGGACTCAAAACCTGGTCTCCAGAGTTGTGCTCCAGCGCTCAAGCAAGCCGCTAAGCCACGCTGGCTGCCATTGTGTTTAATGGGACTTGAGCATCCACGGATTTGGGCATCCATGGGGGTCCTGGAGCCAGAGATACCCAGCAGATACCAAGAGCCCACTGTATAGAGTTGGAAGCTTGGATCTGGCCGTGGCGGTGCCTCCAAAGAAACACGCGTGTCCTGGGCGGTAGGGAAGCCTGAGGCAGAGAAGCACGCCTAAGGGCTCGCATGGGCAGAGAGGAATGGACCGGGGAATTCTGGGAATGCTCGACACAGCATCTGCACATGGAGAAGAGTGGCAGACATTCCTTCTTTGCTTCTTAGACTCTCTGACCTCGGGATGGGAGGAAAAAGGGGGGGGCATGTTGGACTAGGACTCTGGAGACCAGGGTTCGATTCCCAGCTCAGTCAGCCACTGGCCGACCTTGGGCAAGTAAGTCACACCCTCTCAGCCTCAGAGGATGGCCATGGCAAACCTCCTGTGAACAACTCTTGCCAAGAAAACCCCAGGATAGGGTGGCCTTAGGGTCTCCATAAGTCGGAAACAAAGGCAAGAACCCTCG